AATGAGTGAACCTCGTGAATGCACTGGACCACACGATTTGGAACAATATGGAACTTCATAATATGGTTTTCAGGAAAGGCTTCTTCCTAATATGCAGCTATTCACAGCAATGGTTAGGGACATATCTTGATTCCCCGGGCAAGGTAAGCTAAAAAAATCTAACAGTGAATGGTTACCCTAATTACAGAGATTTTTAGTTTTACACATGGCTTAATTACAACATCTGATCCTGACCAGGTTGTCGTTGTACAAAACAACCTTAGCGCTACAACTGTCGTAAGTCTATGTTATGGTATGGGAGTCTTAGGGCTAAGATCGCTCTGTACAAGGGCACCCTAGACTGGAAATCAACCGTGGAACATCAAATCACCATCTTGTATCAAGAAGATAATGATTGAGCAATTAATATACCACACATTTGCACCAAGCATAATATATATATATATATGTCATGTCATAAGCAAGTATGAACAAAATGGCTCTGAAGTAAACATGTTGTCCTGTTAGAACTGCTTGATTTTGTTCAAATAAACAAAATCTTTTCTACATCAATCACGATTCTTTGAAGTTTGATGTCCTAACACCAAACTTACTTCGTGGAACCAGGTCCAGTCATGGAATAACATCATTATCACACAGACATTTATGACACCAATTTGGATAATAAAGAATATTCTGAAATTCTTGTTCATATTGCCTTACACAAATGGAGAACATCAACAAATAAAGAACATAAAGCTAAGAAAATATGAATTTGAAACAAGGAACAGGTTCGACGGATGACTATGGTACGGATGGGAAGATTGTACACAGGGTTCCTAAGTGTGATAATATTCTCACAAGATATCGCCAAGAAAGACAATGAATATTTATGCAAACAAATACTGGAGGTAACTAAAGATGGGATAAATATGTCTATTAAACAAAATGTTAGCAATGTTCATAAGGTGACATATAAGAAGTCTAAAAGAGACTCACTGAAACCTGCCTGAACTGATACATCTTTTACAGAGAGCACCATCGACAATCCTGACCGGTTCAGCTTCTTATCGTTTACACCACACAATACACATTGTTCATATGTCCATCAGTCAGCTTACTTTACTCAACAATCTCATCAAAATCACATCTTTTACTCTGATACAGTGCTTCACTGCATCCCGATCTGAAGACACCTCCACTGAAGGTTGTGTCAGGTGAAGCCTGATTGAACTTTGACCGCCCATCTAAACAAAGGAAGTGTGGGTTCTTGGGTCAATCAGATGGCAGCTTCACAAAATGATTCAGCTTAATTTTATCACAACCTTTGTTTCGGTAATTTTGATTTAAACAAATGAGAGCCCATGCAAAACGCAAATATTCCTTCAAACATATTCCCTTGGGGATGTAGATGCCATAGTGCCTAGGTGTACAGGGTGAACAAAATAGCCACAATGATATAATGATGCGACATTTACATGAGGAATAAATCCATTAAATTTGTTTTCGAGATACAGAACTTAGGTGTACAGAACTGAATGCTTAGCTCCCTCATACCAAGAATTAAGGCCCTGATGCTGACTGGTTCCTATAGAGGCATCTTCACGCAGCGAGGCATCGTTCTATGAACTACAGTGATACTGCTTGGAATGAAATAATTACAACTGATTCTCAGAATAGAATTTCAAAACAGTAGAGTGTGATAAAAGTGAGCAATTTGTTATACACCTGCATCTGGACACATTTGCTCTGAAAATCTGAAAGTTGGGTCTGACAAAAAGAGTGAGTGAGTTGGTTTTAACGCCGCTTTTACAGTATTCCAGTTATATCAAGGTGTGTCAGCTTAATGTGGGAAGAAAGGCCGAAGAGATGCAGGTCTCAGACGTTTACCACTTCGGTGAAACCCACGAGCACGGGTATGGTGCTGACAAACCTAGAAACATAATCGGGGCGAACCGGGATTCGTACCCACAATCATAGGTTTCTGGCGTGCCCAAGGGATGCAACTTTGCACAGCAAATCGCAATGCCTTAGACGACTGGGCCACCTGTGCCCCCCCTGACAAAAAGATGTTTACCACTGTTGAAACCAAAGAGCAAAGGTGTGGTCTGACAAACCAAGGATAACAGTACACATGGAGCTGGGAATCTATAATCAGCAGATCCTGGCTGAACTAAGTTGTGAAACTCCATAAGCAAAATAATTATAATGTTGGAAGCTGACTCATTCAGTTTCAAATATGAAAATATTGCAGGTATCAAATCTGCTTTCAAAACTTCTAGATTCAAAACACAGTAGCTGTATCGCCTATTTAGGAATCAATGGTCTCTTTACCACACACAATCGCTAAAACTATTATTATAGTAAAGTATATAGCAAAGTATATTGTAAAGATAGGTACACATGACTATACAATCATATCTGCAACAGTAAATACTTACATGTGCATAAAAATACATAAAACACACATTTGAAGAAAAATACTTTGTTATATAAACATTAACTTTGAATGAGGTCTTGATTTACATACAATACAGGTACAAAACATGACTATCAACAAAATGACTACAAAAATAAGTCTCTATATATAGTATCAACAAATGCCAAAAGCACTGACCAAACAGAGAATTTTACAAGCATCTGTGCTATCTCTAAAACGAATAGGATGTAAATTAAATGGTTCTTCTCACAACCATAACTAAGAACAGATGTAGGGTCTCTTCAACATATTAGATTAAATAATACAGATCAAGTCCCCTTGAACCTCTTCCTTCCAAATACTGACAATGATGACAGAAGCAAAACCAGTGAAGATCTGGGTTACAATCGGTCTTCAGCAACTATGCTTGACATAAAAGGCAACAATGCTTGTTATAAGAGGCGAATATGAGGATTTGGTGGTCAGGCTCTCTGCATGTCATCGGATCCCAATTGCATGGATCGATCCTCATGTTGTCAATCACTGGATTGTCTGGTCCAGACTAGATTATTTACAGACCACTGTTACATAGCTGGAATATTGCCGAGTGTGGTGTGAAACAAAACAAAAAAACAAACTAAAAGCAATATGTCTACTACATGTAATACAAGCAGCTGTCATGGCCAAGCTTATTGAAATTAACCTGTCAAACTTTCAAGTGGGGAACCATAACACAATACTATTGACAATATAATTGTATAACACAATGATACTATTGACCATACATCTGTTGAACACAGTGATACTACTGGCCATACAACTGTTTAACACAGTGATACTATTGACCATACAACTGGTGAACACTGTGATACTATTGGCCATACAACTGATTAACAAAGAGGCATACTATTGACCACACAACTGTCTGTCAAATTACATCTCAATCTCATTAAAATCAGATCTTATTTCTCGCTTTAGCTAAACAAAGATCTGAAGACATCCCATTACGGGTCACGTCAGAACGACCTTTCATCCGACCATCGCTTACCAGATCATGAAAGTGACAGTCGGAATGTGTTTTCTAATAAATGCAACCTCGAAAAACGTTAACACAGGGTATTCCGATCGACAGTTTTAGCCTTAACGACTGACTCCGTCAAAATCATCGTCTATCTCGCCTGTGTGGGATAAACATTTGACTGGAAGAGGCGTAGCACGGTACCTGGGAAACACTGCCATACAAACTCAAGCATATATTAGACATTCCGGAATGTTTGTTTGTTCAATTTTCAAAATTTTAATCGAGAACTGTGTCAACCTATTTTTCAAGCGTAGTCTGAAATGGAAGCCGCCAGGTTGAAATGGGTGCCGTAAAGCTCAAGAAAGCTGCTTTCTAATTGGCTGAAGTCGACTTCTTGTTAGTCATTTCTGTGGTCAGTCAAAGTTTGCGAAAGGTCGTGTCATGACCCGTAATGGAATGTCCTCAGATCTTTGTTTAGATGTATTATTCACCATTTTGTATGTACAGCAGTGATAAAAGTTTTATATTGTTTTTCATTTCACCAATACTGAAAACTGAAAAATATAATCTGCAAAAAAATAAAATTGTCAAAAGTAACTTCATTTTTTTCTAATTTCACTGCTCCTCTTGTACATGTTGTAGGTTAATCTTGTAAATCAACTGTACAAAAGCATAAGGCCTTACGTGTTAAATGAAAATTAAAGTCTGATGAACAATAATAATAATTGCTCTGGCACTTTAATCACAGATTGACTCAAATTACTGCAGATTTGAATTCTTGACCTTGTACAGCGCAGCGGAAATCTTACAATTTAGACTGTCGAAAGTCCATATGTTCTTCTAGGTATTCAATTTCAACATAACAAGACAGAAAGGATAGAAAGGAAATCAAAATAATGATAATGACAAACTGAAGAGAATTGATAAAATGATGACAATGTTGTCTGTACGAGATCTAACTCCACATGGAAGAATAACATGTAAAGTTTGATATAAACCCACTTCAAAACACCTCTTCATACCACGCACAAATCCCCAAACAGATATGATAGCCAATTTTCAATAAAGACCCTTCTCCTCTATTTGGAGACCCACTTAGTAAAACCAAGTAGATCATGTATATTTTTAAAAAAATATTATGGACACAGAGAAATTTGACAATGCTTACTTCGGACAAATACCTTGAAAATGTTATTGGCATAGCCATTCCAACAAACACTTTACACTCAACAGAAATGGGACCAAAATACTTCAAAAATACTATTACCCGGTATTCATACAATTAGAATCAATCAGGCTCCAAGTGAGTGAGTATGGTTTCAGCAATATGATGGCAGGGGACACAAGAAATGGGCTTTCAGTCACTATCATCACTCGTGACTACATGTATATGAAACAGACAGTGTATTCTCATACAGATATAACCGCCTCCGTGGACATAAAAGATGGTACTTGTTGTTACCCTGTCTGGCGCACGGCATTATGGGGCAAAAACAAGGACTGATCGGCTCGGAGTCAGTATACTGTGTCTGAGTTGGGCATTCATGTTAAACTGCGGCATGGTGTCTCAATGAGCTAGCACTATGAATCGGCATCAGTCCAGACTAGTACAGGCAGCCACACAAACACACACACGTACATGCACGTCGCTATACAAGTGCAATAATCTTGGACGCGACGTTAAACCCCATTTCACCTCACCTCATACAGATATATGGACCAGCGATATTATCTGGATAGAAAACAAACCAATTTTATACAAACACCCAGATACAGATATGCTGTGTATTAGCGCCAAATCACAATAAATCACCATAACCCATTAAATTTTGAGTTGCTTCTTATGAATACTCATAAAATATACCCAAAGAAAACTACAAATGCCCAAAGTGAATGATAACATGTATACTCAAAAAATATTTCCAAAGAAAACTATAAATACCCGAAGTGAATGATAACATGTGAATGAAAACTCAAAGGCTAAAAATATCATCTGGAGCCCTGTAAACATTATTCATGTTATTGATCATTTTTATTAGCAAACAAGAAATTCATTAATGATTTTAGAGAATAACAAAACTTGAATTTTATTGCAACTACGCAATATATTTATCCAAACAATTTTGGGTCGGCGGATCCATACCCCAACTTAGGAAAAAACAACTAAATACACAAAAAAGGATGAATTTTGAAAGCCAGGATCAATTTTCAAAACTACGAGAATCCTACAAGATGCATGATTCCAGTTCTAATGAATATAATAATAACATGTATATTCACCACCTTGACAAAACACAAGGGCCCACTTGCACAAAGTGATCTTAGTGCTGAGATTATCATAAGCCTATGTTAAAGTATGGGAGTTAGGATCATCTTAGCATCACAATCACACATGATTACTTCATTCAGGCTCTTACCAACAAAAAACAATTACTAAGTATTATAATTGGTTACTGATTTGGCTGCCATGATACAAAAAATATTTCAACAAGACATTTAGCATTTGTACCAACCAAGGTATCTGGAGTGTAGCGAGTGTATCACGAAAGTAGTGACTAAACTGAAAACTTTTTGGCATTGGAGGTTTCAGCACAGACACAACAGCTGGATTGAACTGTTCACAAATCATTAGCAAACTTCACACCTGGCAGATTATACTGCAGCACCATGAAAGCATCTCTGTCACTTTTGACCTTTATTTGTTATTAGTTGGTTTACCAAAAATAAATGGCCTAAAATCCAATGTAGGTAGGTATTACACATTAAAACCAGATTAGTACTGCTACTAATTACTAAAAACATGAAGTTAACACCGTTCCAGAAGAACGGTTGTGAAATGATATTGAAAGATGGAATAAAGATTTTATTGAGTATTATTCAAAATTTCTCATGAATGGTGATAAATCATGAATTGTTTGTTTTCGACTCGTTAAAATTATCAAAAGTCCTTGTAAATTATTCTCTTATTTTAGGTCGCTCGTGTAATCCAACTAGAAAAAAGTATAAGGCATTAGCAATCATGGGCATGTGAAAGAAACTGATTATATACATAATGTAAGCTACATAATTTTACATAAAAGACATCTCCAAACTGAGCAAAGTTTTGGAGAAAAAACTGAATGGTTTTGAGATATTTTTCAAGCCTCTTTCTTTGCCAGGAAATGATCAGCTAAAGGCACCACCTCTACACCAAATAGCTAAGGTCGGACTTGGATCTTTCTTGGTTAAAATACCTTTGTGAAAAATCATGTTTAGTAGTTTGATTTCTTAGCATTTTCAGATATGGTGGCAGAATTTATAACACAGAGGAAGTGGCTTTCAGATTTTTTCCCTTAAAAACAAACCCAAATAATAAAAACATGAAATGTCTTGTTTGATATTGGAGCAAAGTCCTACGGAGAATAATAACTGAATTTCTGTAGCTCTGCTTTGGAAACTAACCTTGCTAGCAGAAGGACCATGCATGATCTGGTCAATTAAAAAATCCATAAAATTCCCCAATTCAGCATGAGGTAAAATATGTGAGCAAAAGTTCTTGAACAAATATTGAAAGGTTTAGTATTATGCTCTGGACAGACAGGACATGTCGATCACCACATCCTATACCATAATATACCAAGGAAAAACATATTGAACAGTTCATTTAGTCGATGTATACACTGTATATACAACCAGAGAACATGAATAGACAGACAAGAAGGCTTCATAAGACCCATGCTTCACAACTTGTAGGCCTTTTGATCAGGAATACAATTCGGCATGGCAAGATATTTGTCCTTTATCATAAGATATGTACATAGGAGAAAATTGCACAGGAGAACATTTTGCATAAATGTTGCACATTTTTCTCCCATTGTGTCTTTGCTTTGTTTGTTTGTTGTTTAACGCCACACTCAGCAATATTCCAGCTGTATGACAGCGGTCTGTAAATAATCAAGTCAATCCAGGACAATCCAGTGATTGACATCACGAGCATCAATCTACGCAATTGGGATCAATGACATGCATCAACCAAGTCAGTAAGCCTGACCACCTGATCCCGTTAGTCGCCTCTTACGACAAGCATAGTCGCCTTTTACGGCAAGCACGGGTTGCTGAAGACCTATTCCCACAGACAGACAATTATCTGAGCCAGCCTTAAAACTTCAGAGTAGTAGTGTAAACCTTATTTTACTGAACCTATGATTGGATTTTTACTTGTCCTCAAAGAAATTTAGTAGTCTCGGGCTCGTGTACAAGTGTGAATTGCAAAGGCTGCCAAGTGATTTTGACAAATGAACAACCAGTTACTTTGTTTTGGACATAACAAATATCTTATAGTACACAAGCAAACACTCAACAAATTGTCCTTTATCATAATTCTTCATCTCATCCTATTGTTCAAAAGGCAACTTGGATAAACAAGCAGTTATTATGTTTTGCCATTAACATTTGTCTTTGAACAAAAACACACATTCAAAATAAACCTTAATCTCTGCATTATTGTTAAAAAATAGTGCCACTTCAGTGTAGCTCACCTTAATATATAGTAAACAGTTAAAAATGTCAACAAAGTGAGCAGATTAACAAAGGTCCGTCAACATCGATCTTCAAATGCTTTCAGCATATATACTGAGAAAAAACTCACACTAAAATCTAAGAATTTGAAGAAAACATCATGTCATCATAAAAAGTAACATGCACATCATGGCAGCCATATAGAAAACCGGATCAAAAACTTCCCGAACAAGTTCTGGGCCCCGTTCCACAAAGCGATCATAGCGCTAAGATGATCGTAACTCCCATACTTTAACATAGACTTACGACAGACTTAGCGCTAAGATCGCTTTGTGGAACAGGGCCCTGGTGTCATTGTTTGGAAAGTGTGTCAAGTTTCAGCTTCGAAGAAGAAGATGTTCAGACACTTGACTCGCACCACACAATGGACTAGCAGGCCACGACATAAGCCTACCTACCTTTCAGGCAGGAGAGCTATAAAAATGTGTTTTGGGGACAAACAAATAAGCACTTTGTTTTGGTGCTGACATTAACATTTTATCTCTGTGCACAAGCACACACTCAACTTCTATTCCACTCAGAGGTGAGGTTTCGGATAACACTTGGTATTGTGTAGTTGAACAGCTCAAAGTCTGGGTAGTAAGTTTTCCACAAAAGTCCAAGGTAATGGGGAGGGATTTGCTGATAATAACTTGGCAGGACGTCAGAGGTTTTCTGATGGTGGTAGGAAGCTGCTCTAGTAGGGAACTTGACAAGTGACGATGCACCGATAGAATCTAGAACATGCTTTGAATCATTCTCCAACTGATGATACTTTCCAATAAAATTATATTTAATCAGACATGGGAGACAGAGTTCAAAGAACTGACACCAATGTTCGTTTAAAGCTTCTTTCCTCTTCTTGTCCACAATGTATTGCACAAACTCAAAGAAGGACACATCATTGCCTTGAGCAAGTGAATTAGCTGATGCATGTTTTCTATAATTCTTGATTATGTCCTTTCCATATCGTGAATGAAAGAATTTACTTGTGTTTGACTGTCCTTGAAACTTGTTCCGATAAGCAGAAAGAAGTCTTTCAAAAGGTTCACGCACAAAAAAAAATTTGTAATAATTCCTCAAAGCGTTATCAGCTTCTTTCATAGAGAGGTCGGATAAGTAAGTGAGATGCTTGTCATATTTCTTATGAACATCGCCAGCTTTAATCAACATAGGGTCAGTAACATTAACCTTGCCAGAAAGAACTAAAAGTACACGTCTCCAGTTTGTACAAGCAACTTTGGGCACCTGGCAGTAGAGAACCTTGTACTTTTTGTCTACGATGATATGGTTGAAAGAACGGTGATTAATTTTCTGGGAGCTTTGGATACCCATGTCCTCACACTTTTCCTCAAGGTGATCTCGCCAGCCGAGACCCTACAAGACACAACAAAAAACAAAAGCTGCAAAAGGAGAAACTTTTGGTTGGGCATAGTTTCATACATTTCCTTAACTGTAATCAGTGTACGGAATGAAGCATGGGTGTCAAGATGTTCTTCTCATAACCTGATGTTAAAGGGTGAAAATTAAGTGGGTCCCCAGATTCAAATACTACAGGAGTGTAAACGCCACACTCAGCAATATTCCAGCTATATGACGGCGGTCTGTAAATAATCGAGACTGGACCAGACAATCCAGTGATTGATATCATGAGCATCGATCTGCGCAATTGAGATCGATGACATGCATCAACCAAGTCAGCGAGCCTGACCACCCAATCCCGTTAATCGCCTTTTACGACAAGCATAGTTACCTTTTACGGCAAACATGGGTTGCTGAAGACCTATTCTACCCTGGAATCTTCACGGAAATAAAGAGAAATTGTTACATAATGATGTTATTTTTGCAATAAATGGTGTTTTGAAAAACATGAATGATGGGTGATGGGATCAATTGGGACCAATGACATGCTTCAACCAAGTCAGCCTGACCACCCGATCCCGTTAGTCGCTGTCTTACGACAAGCATAGTCGCCTCTTACGACAAGCAAAGTCGCCTTTTACGGCAAGCATGGGTTGCTGAAGACCTATTCTACCCCGGATCTTCACGGGCATACATGACATCTGTAAAGAGACTGTCATAACAGTAGTAGCACCATCGCACTGTATTGATCAAATAGAAAAAAATGGAAACCACTGGCATTTTTCCAGGATCATTCATTTTCAACTCTCTAAGCTCTCTGAGAAAAAAAGCTTTCCTTACCAAAGTAGACAACCTAAATTTGCATTCTCCATTTATGACCAAAATGTAACGCATCCATGATTCAATGCACAGACATTAACCATGTTAACCACTCCTCATTCCATTAAGAAAATTAATTTGAGCTTCACTGTTCCAGTGAAGGTAAAGGAAAGATCTCTATGGATGAAGAAATTATGTGTTGGTTAGGCTTTTCCGCAACACAGCTGTTTTCTTGGATGGGAGAGTACAGAAATGTCTGGCATATGAGCTGCAATCAGACTGGATAAAACATTGTTAAACGGGATGTGAAGCACAGATTCTCAACCTGCATATGTATTATGTGGCAGCATATAATGTTGAAGGTGGTTAAATATTGTGACATGTAGTGAATGAAAAGTTCAAAAGCTGTCATTAGCAGATTGTGGGCAAAGAGTTCATACAATAGCCACACGTGTCAGTCAGAGTTACCTCCCAACCTCACTTTTGGGGGAGAGAACAGTGACTTGAGAGACGAGAGTTTCTAGTGAGTGAGTGAGTACGGTTTTACATTGCTTTTAGCAATATTCCAGCAATATCACGGCGGTCGACACCAGAAATGGGCTTCACACATTGTACCAATGTCGGGAGTGGAACCTGGGTCATCGGCAAAGGCTGTAACCACTAGGCTACCTGACCGCTCCTTGACAGTCGCTAGGCTGGGTGTACCTATATAAGAGCGCATGTCAAGATTGGACCTTTCATGATTTTAGAACAGTCAAAATTACTTTATAATAAGAAGACTACTGAAGTTGTTAAGCTGGAAAAACTTCACATGTTTCTGATTTGCAAGTGTTGTTAGGTATTCTATATGCAGAAATATTAGCATCAGATGCTCAATAAAATCTGCTTATCTGAAACCAATAATGTTCATCTCCTAAAAGTACCAGATACAGACAACTTTGTTATTTTTCAGACAAACTTGGATTCAAACAGCATATCCTTGCACAGTTAAGGGATGCAACTCTGCACAGCAATTGCTGCGCTTCAGACCACTCCTCACTGAATAAGTTATATCAGAAGAACCAAATACTGACCTCGCTCACGTCAGTTGTCACAGAAACTGGCTTAATTAGTTTTAATTCGTGTTGGGAATCACTTGCAAAATCATCAATTCTATCGCAGGATTTTATGATTCATAATTCCTTATGCCATTGAATTACCACACAAATTTATTTTCTGTTGCTTTTGTCAGCTTCAACATGTTCAAAGGCTCATAACATCATAATCTGCCAGACCCGTGAAGATCCGGGGTAGAATAGGTCTTCAGCAACCCATGCTTGCCGTAAAGTGGCAACTAACGGGATCGGGTGGTCAGGCTCGCTGACTTGGTTGATGCATGTCATCGATCCCAACTGCGTGCATCGATGCTCATGATATCAATGACTTGATTGTCTGGTCCAGACTCGAATATTTACAGACCGCTGTCATATAGTTGGAATATTGCTGAGTGCGGCATTAAACAAAAAACAAACAAATCATAATCTGCTAGGTAAGGGACCAGTTCATGCCAGAATAAAATGTTAATTCCTTAAGTTTTGAGGTGGGGAGGGGTTAATGGCCCTGAAAGATTTCCATCCGACAAAATCAACTTACATGATTTCTCACATTTTTTAGATAGTATCGAAACCATCCTCTGCATCTCCAGGGTTTGCCTACAGGAAACCTACATAAACCATGGATCACTTCCTGTGGTCCTTGCAATCTCATATTACCCACCCTTCATTTTCACTAACATTTAAATGACCAATCAAACGTCTCAATAAGGAAACCGGAAATGGGAAAGGGAGGCAACTGGTATTGCCCACCAAACAATGAGGCTGATTTGTAACTCACATTGCAGTGTCGCAAATCAAATTCACTAATGCAAGGGTGGGTAATTTGAGATCATGAGAACCACAGGAAGGGATCCAGGGATTAGTGTAGGTTTACAGAAACATATATACTGGAGATGTATTTGGAGGATGTCAGTAAACAAAACCGATCCTATTTTCATTCATAAGCCTTTAGGAATTAAAAACATCCAGTCTTTCCACAAGGTTGGGCTTCATCACCATCAATAGCATTGAGTAATATAGAACATGTAGAATGGCAGATTTGATCAACATAAACCCTACAAATGGTTTTCAATACCCAGTAAATAAGCTTCAGTCAATAAATGTTCGGAAAAACAGGGTAAACAAAAGAGGCCACTCAACCAAAAATTCAACATTTTCAGAATTAAGTTTTATTGGGTTTGTGGGGGGGGGGGGGGATCTGTATGTCCTAAAACTTAAGGAATTAAGTTGTTTATCTGACTCTCATAGTGACCGATTTGTGAACGACTTTATCTGAATGAACAAAGGCTAATTACCCAATAGCCAAGTCTATATATATATCTTGAATGACTTAATTGACATTACTTTACGCTGCTAATCCACATCTATACATAATTGCCATTTTGGGGATAACAGTTTCTCAGTTAAGTACAAATTCTAGTACAGTTTTGGGTTCGAACCCACACTCTCAGAGTGAGGCACCTTGGATATAAGCCTTGGTCCAGAGATGAAAATGAACCAGGTCTTACCCTTAGCCTAGGGTTAGGCTAGGTGCTCCGGGGCACCAACACTGTCACTGGTATCACTATAAGCTGACCTGACTGTAAGCTACTCTATTTTTTATCCCGGGGATGAAATTCTCTAGTGTCAGGATGATTCTCCCTAGTGAATTTGAACCCAAACCAGTGTGTTTAATCCCCCTCTGTATCCGCCCATGTAATCTTATCCTATACTATACTCTAGTGTACCTTGCTTACAGTAGTACTACTTGTATTTATCATCCAAAACTGGCTCCCACAGGAGATATGCTTGGATGAGATCAAGCGATATCTACACTGTAGATATCGATGCAATGAAATTACATCACTATGCTTTGCAGACCATTGTGACATCACTGGTTGCCATGACGTCACAATCAAATTACATCACTAATGGCTCTGCTCCTGAAGCTGTTAGCAGTACTTTTTACACTCAAGACACTGCTAATTACTGTCTACAAATTGAAAAAGTTGGAAGAATGATGTTGGATGATAAATAAAATCTCACCCTCGTGTCTTTTGACATCAAATATATCAACTCGATGATAAAAGTGGCAAAACTCCTCCGCAAGCCTCGGAATTTTACCACTTTTATCAACTCGTGTTGATATATTTGATATCAAAAGACACTCGGGTGAGATTCTCTATGTATATCTCCCTGTATGTTGTCACTTCCTACCAAGAACCATACGCCGACCCCCTACACATAGGAATATGTAAATAATCTCTATCAACATTATGTGTGGCTGCAAAACACATGCAGCAATGCCCCTTCAGAGCTCCAGATAAGCTGCGTATCTGCGTGAAATACGCATCAGAAATGCAGAAATACACAGTAAAATATAATCCAAGCGTATCAAATACGCAACGAACATTACAGATACGCTACAAAAATAAAACTTGTGCGTATCATCAAAATATTGTGAAGTAACCCTGCGTATTCGATTAGCAAATCAGCAACTTATTTTGAAATTATAAAGGGGCATTCCGTCAACCTTGCCAAACTCCACGATGACAGTCACATCATGATCATTTGCCATCACACTTTCTTGTGGAAGTATCGTGGTATTTTTGAGTCCCATAAAGCTCTCGAACCCACACGACACCAGTTTGCAGGGACAAGATGAATAGGGTTTTTAAATATTTAACTTAAATACACACATGTGTAAAAACTAGTGGGTAACAGAAATTTGAATACGCAGGTAGAATTACTGATACCCAATGATTTTAAAATGCATGGGTAAAATACCCACAACACCAAAAGCTTATCTGGAGCTCTGCCCTTGTAACTACTTAGAACTTTTGAACTGGTCCCTAAGGGGCAGAGGATTAAAGGTGCATTCCTCCATTCTCTATGATGTTCTCAGATGTGTAACAAATGGGAAGGTACCCCCAGCTTAGCAAATGCAACAGCCAAGCTGGCCTTTGAAACAACAGTTGGAATCAATAAACCAATTTGTGTATCATTGGTGGTTATTCTTGTAGTTGTATATTGTTTGCTACACATAATCTATACTTCATGTAGATCATCTGTCCGGAAAGATGAAGGTTAGTGGTCCAAATCCCAGCCGAATCATTCCAAAGACGATAAAAGATGGTTAACATTTTTATGCTGATATTAGATTACCATTACGATTATTGCATTGAATGAAATGTTATAATATCTCTGAAAAATAAAGAAACTTTTAAAAAATCTCAGTTTTAAACAAAATCACACTTTTCCCTGCCTGCCAGTTAGTTTTGATACCTGGATAATCTTGGTCTGTTAACATTGGGCTTGCCCCTTGACACCATGCTGCAGTTTAACATGGATGGATAACCCACTCAGACCCAGTACACTGTCTCCGAGCCGACCAGTCCTCTGAATACTGAGTGCCAGTCAGGGCAACAAACAACATGTGCCATCTTTTAGCGTGAAGATTCCGGGATAGAATAGGTCTTCAGCAACCCATGCTTACTGTAAAATGTGACTACGCTTGTCGTAAAGGACGACTAATGGGATCGGGTGGTCAGGCTCGCTGACTTGGTTGATGCATGTCATCGATCCAAAGTGCGTGGATCGATGCTCATGATATTAATCACTTGATTGTCTGGTCCAGACTCGATTATTTACAGACCGCCGTCATATAGCTGGAATATTGCTGAGTGCGGCGTTAAACAACAAACCAACCAAACCAACCATCTTTTAGTGTGTGTTGGTGCGATGAGGCCGGGGATCGAGCCAACATTCTGCTCTCCGGAAAGATGCTTTACCCACTAGATTCAAGGGTTATGAAACTATGAAAGCAATATCCAGCTGACAGTTCTGCCATATTGATACCAGTCCTGTACCTTTGGATTTCTTCCAACTGAGTTCAGCCTATCTCTGCTCTTGTAGTGGACTTTGCGACCAACTGCCTCTGGAAAACAGAAAGGTTTGTCACATCATATTTTTATCAAACATATGTTGCTTATTGTCCTTCCATAAATCGTTTCTGCTGACAGACATAATTGGTAATTTGATATGTTCAGAGCTTCAAACAGAAAGAATTGACGTAAAGAAAAGAAAACTATATTTTTTGTTAACTATTCACATCGATTTGCCAACCATGTAGAGGGATTTATTGCAGTTTTGTAGATGTCTTTCTCTTGTTATCCACAGCTACTGTGCATATCCTGCCGCAACTAATTCCTCTTTGTAGCTGAAGGTTATTAAGCCACACATGTGTGGTTAATGCCCTTAAATGTTCGCACAAAGCTTGTTCGCAATATAGACAACAGTATGACATCAATGACATCAATGACATCTCCCAGAGCAATAATGCAATATAATCCCTGTCCATTCTATTATCTGCCAATCAGGAAACAGCTGTTCGTCATATTCAATATTTGGTGAGGCCTACATTATTTAGGTTCATGGACATATACATGTAAAAAGGGGGCACGGGTGGCCCAGTCATCTAAGGTGCCGCGATTCGCTGGACACGCCAGAAATCTATGATTGTGGGTTTGAATCCCGGTTCGCCCCGATTATGTTTCTAGGTTTGTCAGGACTATACCCGTGCTCGTGGGTTTCACCGAAGTGGTAAACGCCCGAGGCCTGCATCACTTCTGGCTTTCCTCACACATTAAGCTGACACGCTGTGATATAACTGGAATAATGTTAAAGCGGCATTAAACCCCACTCACTCACTCACTACATGTACAAAATTTGTTTGGTTAGCCAATCAAATGCCACAGAATCACTTGCAATTTATTGATTATGAAATCAATACAATCTTTGAATATACATACTGTAATCGACTTAATAAGTGCCCAGGGTAACCATTGAGTTTCATTGTTAAAGTCATTACAGTATATCACGTGACCAACCAGGGGTCTGGGTAGTCATGTGGGTACCCGGATCCTACTCAGGACCTACCCGAGTTACCCGTCCCAGCCCTAATATCTACTTTAAGATGAGGTTACACTTTTTTGATGTCCTCATTACGGAATAAACAACAACAACTTGATAACAAGAACAACTCAATATGTGAAGAACTGAAATGCTCCAATTGAATTCCAACACAGCGTTATGGAAATAAAGCGACATAAACAGAAGGACTCTACCATGCTGATTATCCATAAAAGATAATTCTTATATAATCTCAATGTTGAAATTGTTTTCTCAATCTTTGTTTCAAGCGGATTAATTTACCATCAAAGAAAATCAAAGTTTATAGCTAATTAACCCCGAAAACACTTTTTGCCATTGCCGTGTTGCCTATTGACTCGGAAAAAATGTAAAAGAAATCAAAATGGTCTGCACTTATGTATTGATCTAAATTTGGGGTTGACCATCAAAGACAAATGCTTGTTGTAGGAAAAGACTTCTATAGATATATGTCTTTGTTTTAGGCGACATGTTGTTAGAGTTGACATAATGGATCGGTTTTGGTGACATGGTTGCTTAATATCGTGATCCACATGTTCCAAACCGTGGATCCTATAGATTGTTTCAAAACATCAATCACTGGTTTGTCTGATCTAGATTATTTACAGTGAGTGAGTGAGTGAGTTGGGTTTAACGCCGCTTTTAACAGTATTCCAGTTATATCACGGCGTGTCAGCTTATGTGGGAGGAAAGCCTGAAGTGATGCAGGTCTCAGACGTTTACCACTTCGGTGAAACCCACGAGCACGGGTATGGTGCTGACAAACCTAGAAACATAATCGGGGCGAACCGGGATTCGAACCCACAATCATAGGTTTCTGGCGTGCCCAAGGGACGCAACTCTGCACAGCGAATCATGGCGCCTTAGACGACTGGGCCACCCGTGCCCCCAGATTATTTACAGAGCTCAAGCATAATAACATGAATACTGCTGAGTAGAGCATTAAATAAACAAACAATGCCACCATTCTCATGGAAGGATGATAAATGTAATAGATCTAATTAACATCAACCAACTTTGATTTATCAGGAGTTCCTTATCTTTGTAAAACTACTACCGTATTTGACGTAATAAGCACCCCGCTCTAATAACGGCCACAGCGATATTTGCTAATATATTGGCTAGTGAACAAACCCAATTAGCACCCCTTCCGATTGATCAATGTACACAAGAGTTATTTATTCGTGTATAATACACACTCGTGTTTTATGTGCACCCTTAATTATGGGCAAATAAATTCTGGAAAAATATATGTCGTATAAACATTTCAGGTTCAGGGATGCGAGCAGGTTTTCCCGACACATTTGATTGCATTTTAAGCAATTTCGTGCAGTTTGGACAACATTCACACCAAGAAATGTAATAAGTCAATAAGTCAATAAGTCAAATAAACATGATAAACAAGATGGCAGCTGCAGTAAAATTTCGAAGTTAAATCAGTACTTTTAAAAAATCGGGCATAGCTTTCGCGCACCTGGCTACCCGCCAGGTCTGGGAGGAACACTGCCATAAACTTCAACCCCCATCCCCCAGACACAAGGACAACTGTCACAAGCGTGCAATGTCTGACCCTTTCCCCATGTTGAAGCATATTGAAAAAAACTTACCTTGTACTTACCTTTTGATGAAAAAAACAAAACTCCATTGCAAACATAAGACATTAATACAATATATATCCCCGTATTATGGGGTTTTGGACGCTGAAGAAACATTCATAGTTTTCTCACTAATCACATGAACAACTGTAAAACATCTCATTCACTTACAGGCTAAAAGACAACTTTATCTTAAAAACAAGCCATCAGCTGAGTATTTACAATTTCTGTGTGACGCCACACCCCACGTTATAGTGCAAGTATTCGTGATAGAAAACGTATGATGTCCGAAAACCTATGCTGGTGAAAGCTCTGATCGAAAACAGGACAATCCGCGACGGGTGTCCGGTTTTCGATCATATTTTTCGGAGTGTTTTTTTTTAATTTTTGATTAAATTTTTACGCGGAAGATGATTTTTTCCGAGGACTACTGTTTTTTAAAAACGCGATTTTCCGCGTTTCCGCGGAGATTTCACATCCCTGAGGCTGTCAGCATAAATCACAAAATTTATCTTTTAACTAATTTTGAGAGCGCCATGGGCGCTTATTACGTCGAATACGGTATTCAACTATTTACATTTTATCCTACACGTTGACCAGTAGTCTAAATCTCTCTGAACCCTGTTACTCTGCACTATCAACCTGTCACTGCGATGCTGCTGATTGTAACATCGGCGGCCTCCAAAATTCACACAATACCGATATGGCTCTTTATAAGGCGGGTCGATACACTCATACATTCGAGTACCACTTTGGGGCATATCGCTTGACCACTCTGATGACGAAGTCTTAAGAGTAGAAAAATTATTGTATCATTCTTCAAAGCAAACGCATTTCTTTTTAACTAGTGTTGCGTTATAACGAGACACTGCGTTTTGACTCACAACCCAAACAGGCCCCAGTTTACACAGACTTGCGAACAAACTTTTGACATCACTTTTCGACTTGCTCCTGCGTAGCTCTCATAGTTGAGTCCTCTCAACACATAACATGCGCGTTACTCCTGACGACACAAGAAATAAATTTTATGAAATCTACGAACCTCCACTCGGCCGTTCCGCACCGTCAGACATGGTCCACGCGTTCATGTAGACAAGCACCATCATTGGCAAAAATACTCCCAGTGCTGCTAGAACGGTAAACAGTCTCAGCCACATTTTCATTCTGCTTGGAAAGTTCAGGGTCAAAGCCGACTTGTGGCGACAATCAAAACACCATGTGCCCTTTCCGCATCAATCTTTACACCGCTAACCCGAGAGGTGTCGGTCTCGCCAAAATGTAAATTGCAGTACTAGCGCATTTGGCACTCAGGGCACCGCCATTGTTAGAAAGTGTTTACTTCCTAGAGGTCACGTGATTCCGTTACATGTGGCCCGCACTTGTTCCTCACTGATAACGTTGGGATGTAACACTCGCGAGATGTGCTCATATGGGGAAGGCTCATGCCACTGATCGGCACATGTGCCAGTAAAAAGTGCCAGTGAGCTGACCCACATCTCTGTGTTATTGTTTATATCCCCTTTTAGCAACAGCTGTGTTGTGGCGAGACTGTCCCTTATCTGATAGAACCCGGGGTCAGGAGACATAGACTTACACAGGCTTTTCCCAAAGCATTGATAACATTTTTGTGTCTTATTATAGTACTTATTCACATATCTTATACTTATTCACATGTTACATTATTTGTCTAGTGCATACTAGGTAGTATATAACACCCTGTTCATATAATATTCTTGTTTCGAAAGTAAATACCGTGAGAGGAGTTTGACCAAGAAAGTCTATACTGTGGGGGTTTATAGTTAAATTGAACTCTTTTAAAATATTGTCCAAACAGTTAAGAGCTCCTGAATAATGTTTCCTTTAATTTCCCCACCACCAACCAGGGTATGAAACTCCCAACAATTTCAGCCAGACCACAGGACTGGCTAGCAGAAATACTTGCCAGCCCTTACCAAAACCTGCCTGCCCGCTATAATCATATGTTTCTCAGGATAGTTTAATTAAAAATATGAAAACTGATTGCTTGTAGCATAAGCGCATCGCTAAATGTTAGGTTGGCTAAAAGCTAACGGGGTTTCTTTTTGGTTACATTTTATCATTCATCTTTACATGTGAATTAATGCTTATCATCGGGAATTATTTAGAATATTTTCACCTATAAAATATAACCCGACCGTCGGGCAGGGGGATTCGAAAATCTCACAGCCCGAGTTAAAATCAACCCGTCTCGGACGGTCGGGCAGGCAGGTATTTCGAACGCTGCACCAACCCCTCCAGCCACCTATATTTAGGTACATTTTAGTTCACTGTTCTGTTTCAACATGCATGTTCCAGTGTTTTTCTATTGAATTCAATTATGCGTTTTTATTCTATTTCTCCAGTCTGGGTCATCTTAAATAAGAAACCCTCTCCGCCGGCTGCTCAACGCCATTCTCCCATCAACACGTCAAGGCCAAATGATGACTGCACTTTTGTAATCTGATACGACATCTCCAAATAAACTGCAGCGCGGCCCCGGAACAAATCCCTTCAGTGAAGGTTCACATGAACAAATCTCCCACCTCCTAACTGATAAAGACGAGGACGGCTGGATAATTAATCTGCAAGCTGTCTGTAACAGACGACACGTTCTTTACTTCCGGCTGGGAATGCATTTATATTATACAATATCATCTTCAATTAGTTCCAACTATTTTATCATCAAGCGTGTCAAATAGGTAAAGTAGCCATATAGATAGTAAAGATATATATCAGTATGTTCTTGTGTTATAATGCATTTGTTTCTCATCAAATAATCTTATAAACCAACTGAGCATACATCGCGTGAAGCTACTATATATAATATGATTCATATGATCAGTAGTTTGACCTTTGTGTAGTTCTTTTGTATGCCCATCCTTTGCAAATGTTATGTAATGTTGCCAATGATCAAAGTTTCATCGGAAACGAAATAAGAAACATGGCTGCAACATTACCATAAAATCTAAGTTAAATACAACACATTGGTAAAGAAAGGGTAAACTAGATTATCTTAGTAGTAAAGTCAAGAGAATTACAGTCACATCATATGCTTCTTCTGCATAACTCCCAACCTCTAAAATTGTTGGTAAATCATTTCGATCTACAACCTCTCTCGTTAACTTTTAACTCACTCACTCGGGAACTATATGTCTTCCCTTTAACATAGGGTTTTCTCTATCAAAACGTCACAATGGAAATAGCCTGAAAATTTCGTAGCACATCTGGGAGCCTCGCATGAATCGCATGGAAATAGTTTAAAATACAGGTTTGAAATATTATTATCTTTTTACTTAAACATTTAGGCATAAAATGAGGTAAAAGGAGTAGCTCTATATCCTGTCTCGGAAACTATATAGCTTCCCTTTAACACAGGGGGTCGTCTATACAAACGTCCCATTGGAAAAGAGCCTGAAAACTTAGTGGCACATCTGGGAGCCTCGCATGTTTCGCATGGAAATAGTTTAAAATACTTCTTTGAAATATCATTATCTCTTTCCTAAACAATTTAGGCATAAAATAACTTTAAAACAGTCGCTCTATACCCCCTTTTGGAAACTATATTGCTTCCCTTTACCACTAGGGGTTGTCTATGGAAACGTCCGTATGGAAATAGCCTGAAGACTTAGTGGCACATCTGGGAGCCTCGCATTTTTCGCATGGAAATAGTTTAAAATACGGGTTTGAAATATTATTATCTCTTTCCTTAACCATTTAGGCATACAATAACTTGAAAACAGTCGCTCTATATCCCCTTTTGGAAACTTTATAGCTTCCCTTTAACACAGAGGGTCGTCTATTACAAACGTCCGAATGGAATTAGCCTGAAAACTTAGTGGCACATCTGGGAGCCTCGCATGTTTCGCATGGAAATAGTTTGAAAAAAGTGTTTGAAATATTATTTTCTCTTTTCTGAACAACTGAGGCATAAAATAACTCTAAAACAGACCCTCTATACCCCCATTTGGAAACAATATTGCTTCTCTTTAACACAGGGCGTTGTCTATGCAAACGTCCCTATGGAAAAAGCCTGAAAACTTAGTGGCACATCTGGGAGCCTCGCATTTTTCGCATGGAAATAGTTTAATATACGGGTTTAAAATATTATTATATCTTTACTTCACCATTTAGGCATAAAATAAAGTAAAAGGTGTAGCTCTATATCCTGTCTCGGAAACTATATCGCTTCTCTTTAACACAGGGGGTCGTCTACAAACGTCCGAATGGAAATAGCCTGAAAACTTAGTGGCACATCTGGGAGCCTCGCATTTTTCGCATGGAAATAGTTTAAAATACGGGTTTGAAATATTATTATCTCTTTCCTTAACCATTTAGGCATTAAATAACTTTAAAACAGTCGCTCTATATCCTTTCTTGGAAACTATATAGCTTCCCTTTACTACAAGGGGTCGTCTATACAAACGTCCCTATGGATATAGCCTGAAAACTTAGTGGCACATCTGGGAGCCTCGCATTTTTCGCATGGAAATAGTTTAAAATACGTGTTTGAAATATTATTATCTCTTTCCTTAACCATTTAGGCATTAAATAACTTTAAAACAGTCGCTCTATACCACCTGGTGAAAACTATATAGCTTCCCTTTACCACGGGGGGTTGTCTATACAAACGTCCGAATGGAAATAGCCTGAAAACTTAGTGGCACATCTGGGAGCCTCGCATTTTTCGCATGGAAATAGTTTAAAATACGGGTTTGAAATATTATTATCTCTTTCCTTAACCATTTAGGCATTAAATAACTTTAAAACAGTCGCTCTATATCCTTTCTTGGAAACTATATAGCTTCCCTTTACTACAAGGGGTCGTCTATACAAACGTCCCTATGGATATAGCCTGAAAACTTAGTGGCACATCTGGGAGCCTCGCATTTTTCGCATGGAAATAGTTTAAAATACGGGTTTGAAATATTATTATCTCTTTCCTTAACCATTTAGGCATTAAATAACTTTAAAACAGTCGCTCTATATCCTTTCTTGGAAACTATATAGCTTCCCTTTACTACAAGGGGTCGTCTATACAAACGTCCCTATGGATATAGCCTGAAAACTTAGTGGCACATCTGGGAGCCTCGCATTTTTCGCATGGAAATAGTTTAAAATACGTGTTTGAAATATTATTATCTCTTTCCTTAACCATTTAGGCATTAAATAACTTTAAAACAGTCGCTCTATACCACCTGGTGAAAACTATATAGCTTCCCTTTACCACGGGGGGTTGTCTATACAAACGTCCGAATGGAAATAGCCTGAAAACTTAGTGGCACATCTGGGAGCCTCGCATTTTTCGCATGGAAATAGTTTAAAATACGGGTTTGAAATATTATTATCTCTTTCCTTAACCATTTAGGCATTAAATAACTTTAAAACAGTCGCTCTATATCCTTTCTTGGAAACTATATAGCTTCCCTTTACTACAAGGGGTCGTCTATACAAACGTCCCTATGGATATAGCCTGAAAACTTAGTGGCACATCTGGGAGCCTCGCATTTTTCGCATGGAAATAGTTTAAAATACGGGTTTGAAATATTATTATCTCTTTCCTTAACCATTTAGGCATTAAATAACTTTAAAACAGTCGCTCTATATCCTTTCTTGGAAACTATATAGCTTCCCTTTACTACAAGGGGTCGTCTATACAAACGTCCCTATGGATATAGCCTGAAAACTTAGTGGCACATCTGGGAGCCTCGCATTTTTCGCATGGAAATAGTTTAAAATACGGGTTTGAAATATTATTATCTCTTTCCTTAACCATTTAGGCATTAAATAACTTTAAAACAGTCGCTCTATATCCTTTCTTGGAAACTATATAGCTTCCCTTTACTACAAGGGGTCGTCTATACAAACGTCCCTATGGATATAGCCTGAAAACTTAGTGGCACATCTGGGAGCCTCGCATTTTTCGCATGGAAATAGTTTAAAATACGGGTTTGAAATATTATTATCTCTTTCCTTAACCATTTAGGCATTAAATAACTTTAAAACAGTCGCTCTATACCACCTGGTGAAAACTATATAGCTTCCCTTTACCACGGGGGGTTGTCTATACAAACGTCCCTATGGAAATAGCCTGAAAACTTAGTGGCACATCTGGGAGCCTCGCATTTTTCGCATGGAAATAGTTTTAAAATACGTGTTTGAAATATTATTATCTCTTTCCTTAACCATTTAGGCATTAAATAACTTTAAAACAGTCGCTCTATATCCTTTCTTGGAAACTATATAGCTTCCCTTTACTACAAGGGGTCGTCTATACAAACGTCCCTATGGATATAGCCTGAAAACTTAGTGGCACATCTGGCAGCCTCGCATTTTTCGCATGGAAATAGTTTAAAATACGGGTTTGAAATATTATTATCGCTTTCCTTAACCATTTAGGCATTAAATAACTTTAAAACAGTCGCTCTATATCCTTTCTTGGAAACTATATAGCTTCCCTTTACTACAAGGGGTCGTCTATACAAACGTCCCTATGGATATAGCCTGAAAACTTAGTGGCACATCTGGGAGCCTCGCATTTTTCGCATGGAAATAGTTTAAAATACGTGTTTGAAATATTATTATCTCTTTCCTTAACCATTTAGGCATTAAATAACTTTAAAACAGTCGCTCTATATCCTTTCTTGGAAACTATATAGCTTCCCTTTACTACAAGGGGTCGTCTATACAAACGTCCCTATGGATATAGCCTGAAAACTTAGTGGCACATCTGGGAGCCTCGCATTTTTCGCATGGAAATAGTTTAAAATACGGGTTTGAAATATTATTATCTCTTTCCTTAACCATTTAGGCATTAAATAACTTTAAAACAGTCGCTCTATATCCTTTCTTGGAAACTATATAGCTTCCCTTTACTACAAGGGGTCGTCTATGCAAACGTCCCCATGGATATAGCCTGAAAACTTAGTGGCACATCTGGGAGCCTCGCATTTTTCGCTTGGAAATAGTTTAAAATACGTGTTTGAAATATTATTATCTCTTTCCTTAACCATTTAGGCATTAAATAACTTTAAAACAGTCGCTCTATACCACCTGGTAAAACTATATAGCTTCCCTTTACTACAAGGGGTCGTCTATACAAACGTCCCTATGGATATAGCCTGAAAACTTAGTGGCACATCTGGGAGCCTCGCATTTTTCGCATGGAAATAGTTTAAAATACGGGTTTGAAATATTATTATCTCTTTCCTTAACCATTTAGGCATTAAATAACTTTAAAACAGTCGCTCTATATCCTTTCTTGGAAACTATATAGCTTCCCTTTACTACAAGGGGTCGTCTATACAAACGTCCCTATGGATATAGCCTGAAAACTTAGTGGCACATCTGGGAGCCTCGCATTTTTCGCATGGAAATAGTTTAAAATACGGGTTTGAAATATTATTATCTCTTTCCTTAACCATTTAGGCATTAAATAACTTTAAAACAGTCGCTCTATATCCTTTCTTGGAAACTATATAGCTTCCCTTTACTACAAGGGGTCGTCTATGCAAACGTCCCCATGGATATAGCCTGAAAACTTAGTGGCACATCTGGGAGCCTCGCATTTTTCGCTTGGAAATAGTTTAAAATACGTGTTTGAAATATTATTATCTCTTTCCTTAACCATTTAGGCATTAAATAACTTTAAAACAGTCGCTCTATACCACCTGGTAAAACTATATAGCTTCCCTTTACTACA